TGCTGGGTGTTTTTTATATTTACAATTTTATCCATTACTCTATTCAATTCAGTTTAACTTTGTTTATTGTGTGAGAGTTAATTACAGATAACATTAGATGTCTCAAGATCTTTGAAAATACACCTCTGTTTTTGAAAACTAGAAACTACAGTATTAATCATTTGTGGGGTTTTTTAATGAGATGAATAATTTTACTTGAAATACATGGCCTCTTTCTAGTCCATGTCATTTCTCTTGCTACACCATTTTGAGACAACTAAAAGCTTTTCAGCAAAAGCCAATTCTTAAAGCAATAAATGTATGATTTAATTTTGGAACATCACTATATTAAACATTAGTGATAACTTTAGTACTCCTAGTGCTGGTCCCAAGCTGAATAAATGGGTAGGGTTTCATTAGGAAGGGTATCCCACATAAAATGATTGCTAAACTAAACATGTGGACTATTAAAAATTTGTTTTCTATAGTCAGACAATTTTGTGGCAGAGTGATTAGCTTCACAACAAGAAGGTCTTGAGTTCAATTCCACCACCTCGTCAGGGCCTTTCTGGATGGGTTCTCTCTGGGTACTCCATGCTTCCTCCCACCGTCCAAACACATGCATTAGTGGGGTTGGGTTAAATGGTAATTCTAAATTGCCCCATTTGTGAGTGTGAATGGTTGTCTGTCTATGTGTTTGACTTATGACAGGCTGGCGACCAGCCCAGGGTGCTTAGTGGTAGCTGGGATAGGCTTCAAGGATAAGCAGAAGAGGATGGATGGAGATCCATACTGGATCAGTGAGTGCCTGAATTAACAATGACCACCTCTAGTATCATTGACTGACACAGTAGAAACCGTGGTACTGTTGGCAAATAACAAAGGTGGAGTAGAAGAGGGTGATGTGACAGCAGTCAGCAAGAGAGAAGGAAAGGCAGAGTGTTAACTTTTATTTTTAAACATAGATCATGGGTGGGGAACTTCAGGTCTCAAGAGCCTGTGTCCAGCAGGTTTTTGATATCACTCTGGGTCAATACACCTGAACCAAATGCCAAGGTCATTACCAGGCCTTTAAAACAACTTTAAGACATGTAGCCATTTAAATCAGCTGTGTTGGATCATGGACACATCTAAAACCTGCAGGACACCACTTCTTGAGACCTGAATTTCCCCCAGCCCTGACATAGACTGATACCACAGAACATAATGAATTCAACTTTATTTATATAGTGCCAAATCCCAACAGTCACTTCAAGGTGTTATATAGTATATGGTAAAGGCCTTGCAATAATACAGAGAAAACACCAACAATCAGATGAGCGTGAGGCAGAGTACACCCTGGACAGGTTGTCAGGAAAAACAGAGACACTTACAACTATTCACACCACTAAGCAATGTAGAATCCCCAATTAACCTAACCCCACTAATTAGATGTCTTTCGACTGTTGCAGGAAGCCGGATTACTCAGAGAGAATCTGGAGAATATTTCAAAAAGTTTGAATTCTGACCTGAGAGTTTCCAGTGTACATTGTAGACCGGCAAGTCCTGCAGAGAGAAGCTTTACTCCCAAATCCATCAGGTTGTTGTTACTCAGGTCCAGATCTCTCAGACTAAAGGACTGGGAGCTGAGAGCCAAGGACAGAGCTTCACAACTTCTCTTTGAGAGGTAACAGCCACTCAGTCTGGAAAATTATTCACGAGACGACACATAACACAGGTGTTGAAGTTTATTCTTAGTGATGATTATGATGATGATAATTATGATGAAGCTTTATTTGTCACTTGAGGTTGCCTGCAGTGAAAGTGTAACCCTTTCAACAATACATACATTACACAAACATAACATTAGGGAGACAGTTCAGAACAGCTAACATTAAAGAAACACTGAAATGTACATCTCAATATGAACACAGGATAATGTGGAGGAGAAAGAAAGAGAACACTACTGAAATTGAACTCCTGATATGGGATCAGTATTAGAACAGTCGGGGGGGGGGGGGGGGGGGGGGGGTTATCTCACTAGGTACTATAATTTATGGTTACAAACAGTTACAATTTAAGCTTGGAACATATACAAAACTCTTTTATTTGAACAATAAAGCGAAATTGAACATCTAAGTTTAAAACTGTTACATTTCAGTGATACCTATTTGTAATATGTTTGGTTTGAAGCTTTCAGTCATGGATATATCATGGATCATTGTCACACTTTTAGACCTAGTCTGTCAAACACTAGCTGTAAAAAAGTTTATACAAGCAGAATGAGATGAAAAGCCAAATTATTTTTGCTGTCAGAAAATACCAAAAGTAAAACAGTAAGCAATTCTGTGAGAATAAAATTTAGTACATCAAAGGTAAGAAGAAACAGGCACCTGTGGTAATCAGAATTATATTTAGAATTATTCTTTTATTATTCTTTTATTTATATATAGGTTTCATGAGAGTCACTATGAACAGATGGATTAATACACGAGTGTGTCCCTGAAAGAAACAAAAGACAGGCAAAACACCAGCTTCTGGAAGACGGAGTATTCACTCAAGACTATAAGATCAAAAAGTGTCTTGCTACATGGTCAGTCATCCAGATAAGGGAATGCCAAAATAGCTGATTATGGTATTATCTAGACGTAATGTTTTTTTGTTTTTGTTTTTTTGTTTTTTTAGCACTGAAAACGCTACATCCAAATGAACAGAAACAACCTTTAGGGGCATAGAAAAAGTGCTTGTATAAATAGGTGTATGAAGCAAGTCATGTTAAAGTCCCTTTGAGTGCTCAGTTAGGGTAGAAAAGTTACATTTAAGAGCCAGTTCATTTACCATTCACATGTATCCTGGAATGCCTAGAACTATACAATAATAACGTTATTTATAAAGCGCTTTCAAAAAAAAGTGCTGAACAGTTGTTTGAAGTTAAAAAGATGAATAAATAAATAGTAATATAGAGTAATACAGAAAAAAACTATACAATTAAAAAAAAAGATAACTTAAAAACTGATAGGCATAGAATTAAGACACATAGGATAGGGTGAACAAGTGGGTCTTTAACTTAGCTTTACAAACCTCCACAGAGCATGACTGCCTTATACAAGATCAACAGGACACTAAGGGCCTTCACCAGGAATTCATCTGGGATGTGGAAAACAACTCTAGAGGCTAACTTCAAGCCAGTTGCACAAGTCACCATCAAGTGCAGGATTTGACAAAGACATGCACTGTCCCCACTGCTGTTCTGCATACGCCTGAATGCCCTCAGTCAACTCATCAATAAGACCGGCTATGGATACAGCCTATGGATTAGAGCAATCATTAACCACTTGACCCACTTTCTAGCATGATGCAGGTAGTGATGCCGTCCAGCTGAGTGCCAGGAGTGAACAAGACACCGATTCACTGATCCATACCACTAGCATCTATAGCAAAGACATTCATACACACTGGAGAAGTTAAGTTGGATTGTAACAAAGAACGGGAACATTAGAGACAACGAGGACAGGTACAGATACCTGGGAATCCCAAAGGGTAAATGGTAAAAATGAAGAGGCTGCTAGGAAAGCTGCAACCACCAAATACCCAATGAGAGTAAGGCAAGTTCAGAGGAGTCCGCTGAATAGGAAGAAAAAGTTCCAGGAAATCAACACCTATGCCCTGCCAGTCATCAAAGAGGAGATAGAAGTCACTGTCATCAAGACAAGCAAGAAGTTTTTCATCCAATGCCCAGCATCCTAAAACTGTACAACAAGTGGAGGAAGGAAGCCTAGGTCTAGTGATTATCAAAACTGCTATTCAGGATGAAACAACAAACATCCGTGAGTAAGATACTCACAACTAACCAGGTGCTTAGTGATTACCTCAGGCAGCAGAAATCCATCCAACAGCAAGAACATGAGCCATCGTAGAAAGATAGGCCCAGTGGCAGTACCAGTGGCAGAAAGAAGAAGAGGCTGGTATTAAAAACTTCTACCACTGGCTGGGAAAAGCTAGACTGAAGGACTGTGGCATGTAGTTACAGTCTGATAATTACACTCTGTAAATTTAAAATAATGAACAAAATACCAAGACAAAATCATGATCATGAGTGAACACCCTGAGACTAGTAAATCTGCAAGAGGAGGGTGAAGGATAAGATCTATTGTCTTATTTTAGTAAAAATGACATTGGAGGTGGTAGATGTTGACAGCTGAATTATTGTGGAGAAGATGCAATGGATTGAGCTAGACAGCGATGTTGATGTCCCAGCAAAAAGAAAAGAAAAGTTTAGGAAATTTTCCAAGAAGGAGAGAGTGAGAATTAGATTTGAAAAAAAGAAATCCTACGCAAAATAAGGAATTTGAATTTATTCACCAACAGCATATTTAGAATATAATCAGCATTATCGGAATATTTATATATGATACAGTAGTTGTATCACTGAGGTATTTTAAGCTGTTCTGAAAGATTAAAAACTGTTACTTACTTGATGGTGAGTGCTGTCATTCATTGTATTTAATACGTTTAAAGATTTTGATAGGACCAGTGCACTGGTTGGGTTCTTTGAATTATACATGTCTGTTTCTTTTCTTAAATATAAATGCTAATTTGAAAAATAATAGAAACACTACAAATTTACTTACAAAGCTTTGCTGGAGGCTTTGACCACTGGCAGCAGCCTCAAAAGAGCCTCCTCTGAAGCAGAGTATTTCTTCAGGTCAAACACATCCAGATCTTTTTCTGATGACAGTAAGATGAAGACCAGAGCTGACCACTGAGCAGGAGATATTTTATCTGTTGAGAGACGTCCTGATCTCAGGGATTGTTGGATCTCCTCCACTAGAGATCGATCATTCAGTTCGTTCAGACAGTGGAACAGATTGATGCTTTTCTCTGCAGACAGATTCTCACTGAGCTTCTCCTTGATGTACTGGACTGTTTCCTGATTGGTCTGTGAGCTACTTCTTGTCTGTGTCAGCAGACCTCGCAAGAGAATCTGATTGGTCTGCAGTGAAAGACCCAGGAGGAAGCGGAGGAACAAGTCCAGGTGTCCATTTGGACTCTGTAACGCCTTGTTCACAGCACCCTGGTAGAAGAATGTAAGATCTCTTTTTTCAGACTTCTGTGAGCTTTTTTCTTTTACTTCTAGCAGATTGAGTCCAGAGTTGATGAAGGTCAGATGGACATGAAGAGCAGCCAGAAACTCCTGAACACTCAGATGGATGAAGCAGAACACCTTGTCCTGGTACAGTCCTCTCTCCTCTTTAAAGATCTGTGTGAACACTCCTGAGTACACTGAGGCTGCTCTGATATCGATGCCACACTCTGTCAGGTCTGATTCATAGAAGATCAGGTTTCCTTTCTGCAGCTGATCAAAAGCCAGTTTTCCCAGAGACTCCATCATCTTCCTGCTCTCTGGACTCCAGTGTGGATCTGTCTCAGCTCCTCCATCATACTTGACCTTCTTCACTTTGGCCTGAACCACCAGGAAGTGGATGTACATCTCAGTCAGGGTGTTGGGCAGCTGTCCTTCCTCTCTGGTTTCCAGCACATCCTCCAGAACTGTAGCAGTGATCCAGCAGAAGACTGGGATATGGCACATGATGTGGAGGCTTCGTGATGTCTTGATGTGGGACATGATGGTTCTGATCTTCTTCCTAACTCTGAATCTCTTCCTGAAGTACTCCTCCTTCTGTGGGTCAGTGAACCCTCTGACCTCTGTCACCATGCCAACACAGTCAGGAGGGATCTGATTGGCTGCTGCAGGTCGTGTGGTTATCCAGAGGTGAGCAGAGGGAAGCAGTTTCCCCCTGATGAGGTTTATCAGCAGCACATCCACTGAGGTGCACTCTGTAACATCAGTCAGGGTTGCAGTGTTGTTGAAGTCCAGAGGAAGTCGACACTCATCCAGACCATCAAAGATGAACACAACCTGGAAGTCTTCAAAGCTGCAGATTCCTGCTTCTTTGGTTTCAGTAAAGAAGTGATGAACAAGTCCCACCAAGCTGAACTTTTCCTCTTTCAGCACATTCAGCTCCCTGAAAGTGAATGGAAATATGAACTGGATGTCCTGGTTGGCTCTGTCTTCAGCCCAGTCCAGGGTGTATTTCTGTATTAAGACTGTTTTCCCAATGCCAGCCACTCCCTTTGTCAGCACTGTTCTGATTGGTTCATCTCTTCCAGTTGAGGCATCAAAGATTTCTTCTTGCCTAATTGTTGCTTCCAGAGTGTCTGCTTTCCTGGATGTTATTTCAATCTGTCTGACCTCATGTTCATCATTGACCTCTGCAGTCCCTCCCTCTGTGATGTAGAGCTCTGTGTAGATCTGATTGAGAAGGGTTGGGTTTCCTGCTTTAGCGGTCCCCTCAAATACACACTGGAACTTCTTCTTCAGGGTAGATTTAAGGCTACGTTGACTCCATTGATAGTTCCTCGTGGAAATTCCTAAAAGTACTAGTAAAAAAGACAATATGAAGGAGTTATCAAACACACATATTTTAAATACATCCTGATCAATCTCTTCAGACATTAGTGACATTTCCATTCATCCAGCAGTATAAGTCTGCTTACTTTTCTGCAAATGGTCAGCCAGTGCTTCCTTCTTCATTTGCTTTAGGAAAAGCAGCATGATCTTTACAAACACCACTTTGATGCTTGCCTTCTGTTCTTCATCCTCACACTCTAGTACTTTCTCATCTTCTCTCTGACTCGCTAAGTAACCCGGAAAACCTGCACTTCCCAGAATGGTCTGGATCTCTTTCAGTTCTTTCTTCACAAAAGTAATGATATTTTCCTCCAACATCTGGAACAGAATATCTTGTGAATCACCCAGTCACTCAACAACCTCAGTAGTTTGCAGGATGAAGGGAAACGCAGAGAACAGACACTTAGGAAACACTAAATGAAAACAACAACAACAAACAAACAAACAAAAAATTTTGTATTGTAGTTTTCTGTTTTCACAGCGTAAGGAAGGCTTTTTTCCCCAATTGCATGGAATGCTCCTTTAATAATAATGGATTGGATTTATATCGTGCTTTTCAAGTCACCCAAAGCGCTTTACAATGCCGCTATTCATTCACTCTCGCATTCACACACTGGTGTGTGAAAATGCTACAGTTGTAGCCACAGCTGCCCTGGGGCAGACTGACAGAAGCGAGGCTGCCATATCGCGCCATCGGCCACTCTGGCCAACACCAGTAGGTGATACGGTAAAGTGTCTTGCCCAAGGACACAACGACCAGGACAGAGAGCCTGGGGATCGAACTAGTGACCTTCCGGTTACAGATGCGCTTCCCAATCCCCTGAGCCACGGTCGCCCCAGTGTCTGCGACCCCATGTTGTTCATTTGAGTTTGATTTCACAACCTGGCCAGGGCCTTTCTGTATGGATTTTGCATGTCCTGCCCACAGCTTCTATCTGGGTACCCTAGCTTCCTCCCACAGCCCAAAGATATGGGAGTAGTTATGTTTGGTTAATTGGTAACTCTAAATTGCAACGTGAATGTAAAAACACAGCGACACCACCCTGATGTTAGAGTTGAACTCAGGACCTTCTTGCTTTGAGGCTACAGTGATATCCACTATGCCACCATGCTACGTTGCAAATAATCATTGAGTCTTTTTTTGACTTTGCCACCTACCAAAATTTATGATTGTTTTTAAACAGCACTGAGTTTTTTATTCGATTTGCTTCATCCTGCCTCAACTCCAATAGTATAAAGAACTAGGCAAAATGTAGTTGTTGTACAGCATCGCCAGAGTGGGCGGTAGCTTATGGCCTAAGCCCGGGTTGTTGTTTCAGAAGCCCAGAGTCCTTTGGAGTGTAATTTGTTTAATAGTTAGATGCTTGACTGACAACTGTATTAAATGAAAACTACACACGCTATTCGAAGCACATAGCGCACAGTCATAAATTCCCCCTAATTTTGGTATGATCTGAGCTCAGGCACTAGCCGACTAAGCACAGCACTTATGCATCTGAGCGAGGGTGAAGAAGCAGCTGCCCGCGAATTTGCTGTAGGAGAAGTGCAGCCAGGCAGGGGAGAGCTTAAGTTTGACCAGGTACCAAAGCAAATCATTCGTACTGTACAAATAATGTAAATATGACGGTGCATCACAAAATAATGATATCAAACTGATCACTTGACCCATATTACATTACTTGTTCTTTGAGTGAATCAACAAATAGTGAAATGAAACCAGGGGCGATTCTAGGATCAGAGCTTTGGGGGTGCTGAAAACCCAGAGAGCTGCCCAGCCAGGCAGGATTAACTTTATTCGTCACGATGAGACTTCTTCCCTGTCTCTGTCAGTCCCTGCATCCTTAAATGTCTCCACTTGTCCTGAGTTCTCTCTGACTGTCTCCTTGGTGCAATTAAACCCATTTCCCTCCCTGTCCTCATCGTCTGCTGTCTTCATCGCTGTTATCAGTCATCATAATTTTACCATCTCTGTGCAAGTCTGCAAATTTCTTTATTAACTCATAAGATTCTTAAATTCATCAAGTCTCTCTGTGCCTGGGTCCTCGTCACAAAAGATGACATCACTGTTTTGTACATTTTAACACAAGTTAATCCCCACATTTGTGAAAGAAAAGCAACACAACTCCTGAGTTCAATTCCACCATCAGGCCGGGATCTTTCTGTGTGGAGTTTGCATGTTCTCCCTGTGTTTGCATGGGTTCTCTCCGGGTACTCCGGCTTCCTCCCACCGTCCAAAGACATGCAACTTGTGGGGATAGGTTAATTGGATCATCCAAATTGCCACTAGGTGTGAATGTGAGTGCGAATGGTTGTCTGTCGCTGTGTGTTGGCCCTGCGACAGACTGGCGACCTGTCCAGGGTGTACCCTGCCTCTCGCCCTATGACAGCTGGGATAGGCTCCAGCGCCCCCCGCGACCCTGAAAAGGATGAGCGAATGGATAGATGGATGGATGGTTATTTAAATGCTGCAAAAGAAGAATGGATTGGAATTAAAAAAATATGACAGTTATGGCAGATATGAGAAAATAACCAACTTCTGTCATTCCATTTCAAGCAGAACAGTGGTAACAGCAGTAGGCTACAGAAGATTTAAAGGGTTTTTTTGCTGATTTTACTACAGAGCAGGACAGACTGTAGGGTAGCAAACATTGTCGGAAAACATGTTTTCAACGCTGCAGGTTACCTGGAGGTAATGTTTTTCAGCTAAAAAGAAACATGGTCTGACTCCTACCTAAGTATATAAAAAGTAACTGAAGGTTAAATGCAGCTAAATGTCCAGAGTCAGGGAGAGGCAAGCTGGAACAAACCTTTTTTTTTCTTTTTTTTTTTTGGGGGGGGGGGGGGTATCTATACTTTTGTTGTTAAAATATTACATCTCAACCAAGTACTGTATGGTTTTTATACTTTTAGTAGTATGTCACACGGACAGCAAATATTGTCAAAAAAAGTAAGTAATCTTTGGGGGTGCTTTGATTAAAAAATGTCCTAAAACACCACTGCAAACGTGTGTTTATTTCATGTTTTCAGTTGTTACCTTCCTAAATAAATACACTAAATACAACCAAATTACTCTATACACAACAAAGGACATAAGGGGCTCCTATCAAAGACAAAACTCAGATAAATGTTATTTTATATATTATGCTTTGCATGTTGTTCAACATCTTTCTATACAAAACCAGAGGAATTCAATACACAGCAGTATATTCACAGTTGAAACCAGATATTAACATACACTTTAGGGAAAGACATGAAAACATTTTTTTTTGTTAAAACATGTTTTTACTGTTTTTACTGTTCTTAGCTTAAGAAGCTTCATATAGGTTAGTAGAGTCCATGTGAGTAAATTGGTGGCACACCTGTGGATGCATATAAGGAACCCCCAAAACACAGAGCCTGTTTCTTTGACATGGGAAAATCAAGAGATATCAACCATAACATCGGGAAAAGAATTGTGAACCTCCATGAGTGGGCTCAGTTTTGAATACAATTTTGGTGCCCTTTGCAATTGAGAAATACAGACAATTTCTCTCTTTAGTGTTAAATTTAACAAATATGTTTTTATATTTATCAATCTAAGAAAATAAACATTTAGTCTGATTTGATGTTTTACAATTAAAAAGTGTTTGCGTTTTTATCTGAAGAGTTTGTAAATATCTGGTTTCAACTGTATATTTGATGATGTTGGTGTTTGGCTTGATTGTCAGCACAAAGAGGGAGAGAGAGGAAGAGAGAGAGAAAGAGATGGAACAAGAGCCAGGTGAGACAGACATGTTAGTCAAATGTTTGTTTTCCAAAACTCATCAGAACATGTATTTAGTACCTAGTGTATTTTTTTTAGGTTTTTTATTTTTCATATTCTATATTTATTAAGTTATGCAGGCTTGTTTGTGTAGAACTAAAAAATAAGTGTAGTGCAGGTTTATGATGATTTTCACGCTACTGTCATCTAGTTTTGATTCTGGCTCTGTTCTGGTTAAGTCCTAAAGTAGTCCTGACTTTGAACTGTTGCAGTCCTGTTTTAATTCTGGATCAGTTCTGGGTCTGGTTGCATTGGGGTTTAGTCCTCGTGTCTTGATACAACCCTGATTTTGTTCTGCCTTGCTGCTTAATTAAAAAACAAGTTTAAGGTCCAGTCATTTCTACTCCCCCCCCCCCAAAATTCCCAATGCATACTGCATACTGTGTATAAAATGTCTGGCTCCGCCTCTGATGTACAGACCATAAATATGGAGTCCAGGTGTGTTTGATGCTGCTGTGCAGACAGATCACTGTGAATGTCCTGGTCCACTCTGTAAAGGAAACATGAAGAGTAAGTATAACATGGGAAAACATCAAAACTACCTCACTAAGATGCCACGGGTCTGTGTCCAAAAGAAACAGCTCCCTGTGGCTAAGGGATTGAATGACCACTCCACAAGCACATGACACAATATTAGAGAGCCAGCCCAAAGAACTCAGTTTTACCAATTCAGCTATATAAATGATAAGGAACACTAGTTTAAAATGCTCTCACTGTGCAAAGTGATGTCTGAGTGAGACTCCACATGCTCACAATATCAGCGTTTGGCATCCCTGGCGTTCACTGCAGCGCGGATCATTCTGTCCACCCACGGTTTCTGATTTGGAAATGTCACGGGATCTCCTCTGGTAGTATGCTAACAAAGCTTACTGCTACATCCGTAAACTCGTTAATGTCGGCTCCTCATGCTCTGAACATATCCCAGTTTATGTCGTTGGGCACATCCTGTAGCCTGGCTTCTGATTGGGCAGACCAGTGTTTCACCTCCCTCATTGTTACCTCATCCCTCTGTATATTTTGTTTATACTGAGGGATGAGGAAGATGGCGTTAGGGTGACATTTCCCTAAAGCCAGTTGTGAAACTGTTGGCTATTCATAGTTTAACAGTAGTTGTTGTTGTGGACATCTTTTCAATGTCAAACCTAGACTCTTTTTAGGTATATTTTTTATAATAGTTCTATGTGCATTGGCCCTGTAGTCCCATGTTTCAGAGGGTACAGAAACAGTTATGTGTAAAGGAATCCAGAGTGATCATCCAAGATGGAATGGAATCTTAAGCTAAAACATATATCAGAAGCTGCACAGTGGATTTCAAGCAGAAATGTCTTCTCACAGCAGCTTCTCAAAGACAATTGCAAAATGTACACATCAACATTGACTGTTAAGCAGATAGTCCAGTTTGTACATACACACTTGCAAAAACTTCTTGTACTTTCCTCACATGAACCAATGTGTGAAAAGTGGTGTGGGTCAATAGCAGATGTTTTTAGTGAAAGCTATCCCCTGTTCAAATATG